TGCTCTTTACCCTGTGCATCCTGTTCCCTGTGGAACTGCCACCGTCCTGGCACACGTGAGCAGCTCCAAGTGATGTTCTGGTTTAACACTTCAGCTCTGGCCAGAGGACCCTATAGATCTCTATCTTTATATTTATATAGACACTTGCTCTGTAGGTTTTCCGTTGCTCCAGGGGTGACTTCCTGAACATCCCCCAAGTGCAGGGCTTAACAGCTTCTTACYGAGCTGTCAGTCATCCTTCCCACAGCACACACAGCGCTCTCTCCTCCAGAGCGAGGATGACGAAGGTGATGAAAGGCGTTTTTGTTGCTGTCACTTCCTGGACAGATGGGGAAAAAGAATTCCTTCCAGCTCAGCTTTCCATGCAAATGATGGATTCCCCGAAGGCTGCTASAGCAGGATGTCTGCAGTCCAGCCAGCAAAGGAATCACCATTTCACCCCAAATGAAGGTGAAGGTATCAGACAAGGCCTGTGACCCATCCTGACCTGAGATGGACTCCAAGAGCTGGGATGGGTTGAAAATTTATCCTTAGGTTGTATTTTCACTGAACTGACAGATTCAGTGAAAGTTGATGGTCTTGACATGGSTGGGATGTCACGGGAAGGAAAACAGTGACGTGGGAGCTGTGCCTGGTGAGCAGCCCTGGTGCACAGAAGCCAAGAGGTCCCCAAGYCCTGATGGGACCAGCAGGATGCAACAGGTCCTGTGAAATCTTGGGGCCATGTGACTCCACAGCTGCCATGTGACTCCAAACTCTTCAGGGTGGGCTCTGTCCCTGGCATGCCCCAGGTTTGGATGCTCTGCCATCCCAGGGCTGCAGCCCACCATGGCCATGCCCAGGGTGTCCCACCAGACCACCCCCTGGCACAGCACCCACCATCCATAACCAGCAAATACTTTTCCCCCTTTCCAAACATAACTTGGTTTTCTGTGGGTCCACCCAAATGGTGCCTCTTGCTGCCAAAATCCCACTGGCAAAACCAAGAGTGAAACCAAGACAAATTCCATTTCCAGAGGGACAYGGTCTGTGCCACCTGACACAAACCCCAGCGCACATCCACAGCCAGGAAATGCTGGGGAGAGGAGGTCCAGTGTTTTCACCCAAACACTGAGGACTTTGGACACTGAGGAAATGTAAGCAGGTTTTTTGGCAGAGCAGCTAACTGGCCCCTTGCCTCAGCTACAGCTGTGCAGGATTTTTTGCAAAGCGTACCAACTCACACACATTTAAGCCTGTGCACACATTTCCCTCCAGCTCCCGGTTATCCCAAATAATCTGCTGCGAGGAAAGCACGGAGGGTAGCACAGACAGCTGAGCTCGAAATGGATATGATTCAAACATATGGATAAAAAGATGACAATTTTCTGCCTCATTCCCAGCTTCCAACCCTCCTATGACCCAGATACAAAACCTCCACAAAGTTTTTATCGGTGCTGGCCCTGCAGCCCCGCAAAGATCAAGTGGCGGGTGCTGTGGTGGGATCAACCTCGCCTGCCTGGCAGACTCTCTGTGCTGGGCCTCTCTTCATGGGTGCCTTTGCCAGTGACAAAACGTGGCACAGCRAGAAAATTCGATGTGCTTGCAAGTTTTCCTTGAGCTCTGTTCGCAGGGGCTTTGCTGGATTTGGAGCTGTTTGMCTCCCCACGCTCCTCCCGGCTCACAGTGAGCCCGGCACTCAGCACCCAAATCCTGCCGAAATGGCCCCACAGTCTCCAAGCAGCAAGTCCTGGGGCAGCCAATTCCCACTCAGGGGGAGGAGAAGGGGGTGGTGTGGATTGAATTTGAAGGGGAGCTGTCTGTCCCTGCCCCTCCTCATTTCCCGGGGGATGCAGTGAGCAGCCCCAGCCCTGCCTGTGTCCCCATTGGGCAAGAAGAGGCTGTTGCCACCACACAAGTGGAGGCAGCACCTTCCCCAGCTGGCTGAAATCAAGCTTTTATCTTCGGAAAAGGAGGCTGGAGCAGGGCAGAGTCCCCCAGGCTGCCCTGCCATCCGTCCACCCCAAGCACAGCACAGCCATCCCATCCCATCCCATCTCACGGCTGGGTGCCACGGGGACTCCATCCTGCCTGCAAAGCGGGTCCCAGCCCCACTGTGCCCGCTGCCTGAACCCGCTGTGACCCGTCCCAGGCTGTCCTGTCCTGGGGACAGCCCCGGCCGGGCCGGTGCCCAGAGCCAGAGGCGCTGGCCTGGCGASAGAAGGTCAAATGGCTCGGAGTGTCCCTGTCGGGTGGGCACAGCGGGGAGGGAGCAAAACGAAACGGGGCCTTTGCCTGTGCCTTGCACAATCCGTAAAGGATCCATCCTGCTGGCTGCCAAGCCGAGGGACAGACCTCGTGTCCCCAGCGTGGGTGGCATGGCCAGGGGAGGTCATGTCCCTGACGCAGGGGACAGGGGACATCGCTGGGAAGACGTTCTGCGGAGCGGGGAGGCGCGACCCTGCCGAGCCCCGAGCAGGACCCCCACGTCCCTCCACATCCCCTCCCGTGTGTCCCCTCTGCGCCTCCCACGCCCCACATCGGACACCCGGGTGCCGGCAGAGGGAACCGACACCTGCCCCGCTCATTCCTGGCGACAAACCCCGCTCAGCCCCGGCTGTGTGCGCCCATCGCCCACCCCTCGCCCACCAGCGCTCCCACGGGGGTTCAGGGCACGCACCGCCGGACCCCCGTTAACCCCCCTGAGCACCCCGGACCCCAATGCACCCCCTGCGCGCTGCCACCCCCGGCACCCGGACACCCCCAGACCCCGACACCCGCACTGCGCTGCCCTCTGCGTGCCCACACAGCCTCCCCCGTCCCTGCTGCACCGGCACCCCCCGGCCCCCGCCCCCCGGCCCCTCCAGCCCCACCGTACCCGCGGTGCCGGTGCCGGTGCCGCCTCCCCGCGCAGCCCGACTGCACCGGCGAGGAGGCGGCGGGCAGGAAAGTTGCGGCAGCTCCGCCCTCGGAGCGGGCCCGGGGGGGCGGCGGGCGGGGGCCGGGGCCGGGGGGTGGCGGGTCCCGCCGGCACTGCCCCTGTCCCTGTCCCTGTCCCTGCCCCTGTCCCTGTCTCTGTCCCTGTCCCTGCCCCTGCCCCTGCCCATCCCGACAGACCGACCGACGGGACGGAACGGGACGGGACGGGTGGGTCCCGCCCGCCGATACCGGCAGCTGCCCTGCCGCCCCCGATGTCCCTGCACCGACACTTCTAGCCCCGGCTGGGTCTGCCCTGACCCCGGGACTGCGGAGTGAGGGCAGCCGGGACATACCCTTACCCAGCTCGGGACATCCCCTTACCCAGCTCGGGGCATCCCCTTACCCACCTCGGGATATCCCCTTACCCAGCTCTCTACATCCTCTTCCCACTCCGGGGCATCCCCTAATCCCATTCTGCGGCATCCCTCTCTCCCAGCCCAGCACATTCCCCTTTACAGTCCTGAACATCCTCTTGCCCATCCCTGGGCACCCCTTTACCCAGCCTTTCACCCCTTTTCCCTCCTCCCACCCAYAGCACCTTACGTTTCAGACGCTGCTGGGGATGTGGAGCCTCCCCTTTCTGCAGGTTTCCCCAGCGCCGAAAGTTTTGCGGCACTTGGAGGGAGACAAAAATCCAGAGAAAAAAAAAATCCAGCACGGGTGTCACTGCTCTGGAGAGCTCCTGTGGAAGAGCACCAAAACCCCTCTGCCAGGGGTGGTTTGCTCCCAATCACAAGGGGACCAGAGTCCTGGGCAAGATGATCCCTGGGGAGCCAGCATCACCTCCCACCTCCACCACCCTGCTCCTGCTGAGGCTGCAGAGCTCCCTGGCTGCGGGCAAGACCAGCCTCACCCCCTTCCCATGCCTGTCCACACCTCAGGATGAGCTCTTGGCTCGATTTTTTGCCTTTCTAATTTCCTTTCTTCCTGCCCCTCTGTGCTTTTTTGTGCYTTCCTGGTTTTTGAGGGAGCCTGGCGCTGGCTCTGCAGCCCCCAGGGAGCGAAACCTTCCRTTTATTTGCACACCAGACAGAGAAACCAGTCCTGCCTCCTGCATCTCCCAGCTGCTGCCTCTACCCGGGGCTCTGCGCTCCTCAGCCTGCCCCGAGAGGTGCCAACCAGCCCGAGCCGCCGTGCAGGATATTTGAGAGCAGCCAGCCTGGCCTTGGGCTGCTGGATGGGGACCAAAGGGGCACCTGGGACCCGCCTGGGTGGCTCCACAGAGCTCGAGGTGGGGCACCCCTTTGGCTCCCGGCTCCCAGGGCCAGCCCTGCACACTCTGGGTGCATGGATTCATCCTTTTCTCCTGAAGAAGCTGGAAGGGGTGGGGGTTCCTGCACCCCAGTCAGCTAAAGAGAAAAGGAGCAAACTCCTGCCATCTCCCAGGGATGCTCCTGTGAGCTCCCAGCTGCAGGGACAGCCCCAGCACCCCTTGTGAGGGCACCTGCCCTTCCCTCCTTCATCTGCACCAAACCAAAYCTCTCTWTCCCAAACCTGCAGGTTTTCTGCAAGGTCCCAGAGCTGCTCCCAGCACTCAGGACCCTCAGTGACATCCTGCATGGAGGCTCTGGAAAGTCTGACGGGTCCTGCAGGCAGTGGCTGGTGGTGATCTCACTTGGAGGGGGAGGAAACGGGACAGACAAACTCTTTCCAACAAACCTGTTGAGTTACTTTAAAATTCCAGGCTGGCAGCAAAAGAGCTGGATGGCGGCGGGGATTAGGAAAATGCTGAGCCTGGACAGAGTCAGGCCTGACCTTTCCCCACCGCAGATCTGCCATCCCGGAGCAGTGAGAAATGGGAAGACTATTTGGGTCCATCTGGTTTGTGTGCTGAGCCCTGAAACACGATGCTGCTGGGGCAGCTGTGAGCCAAAGGGCTTGGCTGAGCTCCCCAGGCTGAGTCCCATCCAGGAGCCGCTGGTTTTGAGGATGTCTGACGCTGCAGAAAGGCAGCGGGTGGGCTCTGGACATCGGGTTCGTGTGGAGCATCCCCAGTGGGTCCTGCCCCATCCCACCCCACCCTGGGGGCTGCTTTGGGAAGAGCAGGCTCTGAGCTGAGCAGAGGCATCTGATAACGCCATCCCATGGGGACAGGGACACACCTGCCAGCGCTGTGTGGCAGCTGAGATAACAGCTGGGCTGGAGCAAAATAGAAAGGAGGGGGTTTAAAAATGGGTCCGATGCCTGTAAGAGGATGGGTTCTGTGGGAGGAACTCCCACAGGGATGTGGGGCAGTCCAGGCATGGCAGCAGCCACAGTAACCCCAGAAATGCCCCTGTGTTTGTGTCACTGTGGCTGAGAGGAACAGCTGTGGCATGGGGCTGTGAAGTGAGGCGATGGCAGAGAGCATTGTAGGAACCAACCAGCCAGAAATAAAGTGCTTAGATTTTAAACCAGGGGCTGACAGAAATGGCCCCAAGCCATGTGAGGGATGCTGGGCCATCCCCARTCAATGGAGGAGAGGTGTCCCTGTCCCAAACAGTGCCACAGGAGCTGGTCCTGATCACTTTGCCTCAGGCAGGGTCCCACCAAGCCCCATGACCAGGGTGAGGGCTGCAAAGTCCATCCTGTTCATGCCCATCTTAGGGATGGGTTGAGCTCCTGGAGATGGTGGGAACCCRTCTGCTGCCTTCCCACCCCCCTCCCGAGAAAAGCCACAGATTCCTCCTTATTTTTAAGGCCAGAGAGATCATTTCAAGCTAAAATAGTCCCAGCAGCTCTGCTGGGAGCCTGAAACCTCTAACCCAGGGGAAGTCCTGCCCTGGGAAGAGCTGGGTGTTCTCATCAGGAGCACAACAGCATTTTTCTGGGGGCAAAAGTGGCCAAGGGGGGGTTCTCTTACCTGCTTTCCTTGGCTCAAAGTCAGGGTTGATGAGGACCCGTTGGATCTTCACCACTTTCCACTCATGGCTGGGGTTGGCCGTGGGGCTGTCTGCTGTGGGGGGCAGCCCTGGGGCAGAGCCAGGGTCCTTGGTGGGGGCTGCAGGTTCATCTGCCAAAGGCAGGCTGCTGCCATTCAACAGGGGTGATGCAGCATCCCCATTGAGCCCCCGGGGGTCCCTCTGGCAGCTCCCACTTGATTTCCCCCCCATCAGTCCCCTCCATGCCCTCTGCTCGCCAGGCTCAGAGGCTGGAGCATCCCGGAGCTGATGGCAGCTCTGCCCCACTCTGCTCCCCCTCTCCTGCCAGCAGCTCCTGTCCCCCTCAGTGTCCCCCTCAGTGTCCCCCTCAGTGTCCCCCTGGGCTGTCCCACAGGCACAGGGGGGCTGCACATCCTCGCTGTGCTGAGTGTGGAGGAACTGCTGGGGCCTTGTCCTCAGCATCTTCACTGCTTTCCTTCGCTGGCACTCCACGGGCATTCCAAACAGCTCCTCATGGCCAGGGGCACGGATCCTCCCTGCCACCTTCCTCAGAGCTTGGGCAGCATGAGAGGGAGGGAGGGAGGGCAGCCACGGGCCAGGCACGAGCCCGGCTTTGCTGCTCCTGCAGGCAGGAAGATCAGGCACGATGCCACCGGAGCAGGCAGGCTGTGGAGATCCAGATGGAGGGATGTGTCCAGGGGAGATGGGTCAGCAAGCAGGCTTTTGATGGAATTTCTCTTTTCCGGGCAGAGGTTCAGCATCCAAGGGCCTGTGTAAAGGGAAGAGGGAGCATTGAGGATGTTTGTGCCTGTGCTGATTTCCACAGACATCGGAGCAGTACCCATAGCCTGAGCTGCAGCTCCAGCCCTGCTCCCCATCTGGACCCCCTGAGATACAGACCCCATTTGGGAATGCCCTGACCCCAACATCTGGAAATGCTCMCCACCCCAGCACCCCCATCCATCTGTCCTCACCCTGGGCACAGCACCCATGGCCGGAGCCCTGTGCCCGGCTCCCTTCACTGTGCCAGCCCAGGCATGGCTGTGGCACCCCTGTTAGTGGTCAGTGCTGGAGCTGGGAGTGTTCAGGGAAGAGCCCCGTCGCTGAGGATGTTGCTCAGGGCTATCAGGAACAAAAAAGGAAAATTTCCAGCATCCAGCTCACMAAACTGTGTTTAACCATTGAGTGACTCACGCAGCGTCAGGACAAGCGCAGACAGACCCACTTCCCTCCTGCCGAGCACAAACCCTGCTGCCATGAGGAGCCCACGCACCAACACAGACAAGTTATCAGCTGGGAGAGGGGGATGTCATCACTCCCAGGACAGGATATGGGTTACAGCGCACGGAAATTCCTGTGAGTCCTTCGCAGCCGCTCGCACAGCATCACCCAGCCCTGCTCACGGCCAGGCTGCTCCCAGGGAAGCTCCTGCTGGGAGATCCACGGCACCCACAGCACATGGACCCGGATGGATTTCCCATCCTAACAGCGACCCAAGGAGGAAAAGAGGTTTCTGCTCATCCCAAACCCCTCCCTGAGTTATTGGGAGGTTTTTCAGTGAAATAAGGAAAGGCACCAGGTCGGCATCGTAGGTTAAGCTCTGGCAGAAGTACACCCTGCAGCTTCCTCGAGGYTCACAGCTTCTCTGCAGAACTTTTCCTGTCTTTAGCAAGGTTATTTTGGAAAAGAAGACAGATTAGAAAGCAGAATGCTCGGGCATTTCCCAGACACAAGGCTGCATTTTTTGGAGAATACCCAAAGGAAATCTTCTGCCCTTTCTGAAATCCTTCCTCCTGCCTCGCTCTGCTGCAATTATTCAACACGGATTTGTAAAGAGAACCTGGGGGGGGAAAATGTCAATGTTTTTCTCTGAAAAAGGAATTTCACCCTCCTCTTTACGTAATTTGCGGGCTCAATAGTTGCAGGAAGCCACCCACATMTTTTCTTAGAAATATGGCAAATTGTTGGAGCTGCCGGGAGCCAGCTTATCTCAAACGAGGACAAAGAGAAAATTGCCAAAAATAGCCCCAGCCCAGTCTGGGTCTGCAGAGATCCTTCAGGGTGGATCTGCATCTCCCCATTCCCATTCCCTTGTCCTACCCTTAGGGAGCAGGTTTCTTGGGCAGCACAACTAATCCATCCTACACCAGAGCTGCCTTGGCAGTTTGCAGGGGGAGCTGGAACCTCCCTGAAATCCCAAAGCCGCCCCCTTCCATCCAGGAGCGCCTTCCACACCTCGGGCATCCCCCGGGAGCGACTCCCACGGCCCCGGCGCTCCCCAGGCAAACCCCTCCCTGGTGAGACCCGAGCAGTGGCGTTCCCTGAGGACACGCTGCTGGCACAGGGCCGCCCACAGCACCGAAATACCGAGTCTGGCATCTGCTGCCTCGCTGGGGGCCAGGCTGGGCCCGGCACAGGGGCGGGGGAATGGCAGCAGAGCTGTGGAGAGCAGCCACCTTTCCCCCAGGACACGGCTCCTGGGCTCTACCAGCAGCACAGGAGGGGAATATTCATCAGCAGCATGGATTTCTAGCAAAAGCTGCTGGGCTGATCCTGTCTGTTGGAATACCAGCCAGGTAGGATGGGTGTATGTGCCTCAGGT